ATCTTCATTTTTAAGAATCCCCCCTTCCACCCCTGCTGTGAGGCAACAGTGCTAACCACTGGGCCACCGTGACACCCCTTTAGAAAAGTAGGAGGAGCAGGGGTGGAAGGGGGGATTCTTAAAAATGAAGATGGCTGTTATATGGAACTTAGGGTATTTATATAGCAGCTTAGGAATCGTCTGATTGGTGAATCATGAATTGAATAATGCGGGGCCAGCTGCAAGCAATCATAAGCACGTGACCTTCTCGAAATTAGTTTATAAATAAACATCTCTTAAAAGCAGTCTGCCAAGTTGTGAACTAAATTAGAAAGATTTAATTTTTGTTTTTTTCTCTTTAAGGACGATTTGAATCGTTTTGCCTCATGTAACTAATACGTAATTTGCATTTTTAAATCACAGAAATCATAATTCTGATACTTATACTCACTTCAGCGTGTTAGAGGATTCTCGAATCAACTCGATAATGTTCTGGTGTGTGGAACCCTCAATGCTCACACCATTTACTGACAATATGATGTCACCTATCAAAGAAATAAGAATTGAAATTCATTACAAGGAGCTGGCAATTAAAATACACACATACAGACACGGAAAAACAATAAAACTATTAGTCTAGTAGTCTATTAATAAAGGTAAAACATGTTCATTTTAATGGCTTTTTATTGGCTATGTGCTAAAAGTTTGTAATGGAGACTTTCCTCAATCTCACAGGTTGCCTGTAGACTGATCTTTAGATGAAGGGCTTGGAGTGTTTGTTAAAATCAAAAGGATGTGGCATTTGTTTATGCCCTGAAAACCTCGCCTCTCTTCCTCTCTCTAACATCATCCTAATGTTTGCTAAGAGGTTGGCTACCACCAGCACAACAGACTCCAAAAAGTTTGTATACAACATTATGGTAACACTTTATTTGGATGGTCTATTTGAGTATTAGTAGACTGTCTGCTTAATATCTATTGATACTGGTAACACTTTATTTTGATGGTCTATTTGAGTATTAGTAGACTGTCTGCTTAATATCTGTTGATACTGCTGCTAAACAGACATTTAAATGACTATAGGAAACTTTGCAAGTACATGTCAACTTACACTAACCTCAACCTAACAGTCTACTTATCATCTAATGACAATTGGTTGACATGTAGATGCAATATAACTTAAATTCAACAAACAGACCTTCAAAATAAAGTGTGGCCAACATTATGAGCATTATATAGACATTAACAACATTATACAAAGAGAATTAATGCACAGACATGACATGATGGTGCTTTTCATTGAAAAAAAGAAAGAGAAAACATTTAAGAAACAGCCCAAAGAGAGCAAAGCAGTTTGGTTACGTGTTTACTGAGAAAATGCAATGTAAATAGGTCAGGTTAAGAGGGTGGAGTGTGAAGAGACACATTGACGAGAGGAAGTGGACGACCTGCTCACCAGCAGTTAAACCTGCAGTTTCCGCTGCACTGCCATCCTGGACCCTGCACACGAAAGTGCACATCTCTACCATACTGGTGTTTTTCACCTTCAAACCATATGTCTGCACAGAAAGTCACACACACACACACACACACACACACACACATACATACATTTAAAAACAATATACTGTTGAAGTCAGAATTATTAGCCCCCTCTGATTTTTTTTTTTCTTTTTTAAATATTTCCCAAATGATGATTAACAAATTCAGGAAAATTTCACAGTATGTCTGACAATATTTTATCTTCAGGAGAAAGTCTTATTTGTTTTATTTTGGCTAAAGTAAAAGCAGTTTTTAATTTTTTAAACAACATTTTATGGACAAAATGATTAGCCCCTTAAGGCTAATTTTTTTTAAAAATAGTCTAGGGGTTGCTGGACAATGAAGGGGGGGGGGGGGGGGGGGGGGTTAAGTCACAAATAAAAATAAATTGTAAATCGAATAAAAAAATCTATTTATTTTTATTAAACTATAACAATTACCATATTTTGTCCATAACCTACTGAGGAAAAAAATAGTCATTTATAGTTACTATATAAAATAAAGTTACTATAGTAGCTTATAGTTACTAGTTGTAGTTGGATTGAGACCCCTGGGGTAATTACATTATAATAAAGACACATCACATCAGATGCAGCAAATTGATTTTATAACACCAGGTTAAAATTTAAGGCACATTTACCACACTGACACACATTAAAAATAATTAAACGAAGAATTGACTTGGACCTCAAAGGATATTGGGGGTCGTGAGTCACTGGCATTGTTATTTTGGGGGTCACAGGCTGAAAAGTTTGGGAACCCTTGGTCTACAGAACAAACCATCGTTATACAATAACTTTCCTAATTACTCTAACCTCCCTAACTAACCTAGTTCAGCCTTTAAATGTCACTTTAAGCTGTATAGAAGTGTCTTGAAAAATATCTAGTAAAATATTATATACTGTCATCATGACTAAGATAACATAAATCAGTTATTAGAGATGAGTTATTAAAACTATTATGTTTAGAAATGTGTTGAAAAGTTCTTCTCTCCATTAAACAGAAATTGTGGAAAAAAATAAACAGGGGGCTAATAATTCTGACTTCAACTGTATATGTGAATGTATATGCAACATGCCAAAGGAAATTTCATGTATTGCATCCTATAAAAATAGTTGTGTAATGCAGATTCATTCAAATACTAGAATCAATGTGAACAGAACACTATGTGGGTGAGGTTGGTGCAATGTGATATTGTATCTGCATGTTTTAAGCATTGGTTATTATAACTAAAATACTAATTAAAACTTACTTGAACTTCGAATCCAAACACTTCATTGTCTTGTTTCTCCAGTACAACCATTGTTCTGACGAAACAAATACACATGAAATATATTAACATTTTTGCACAGCAATTCATTCCAAATCATCATTATCTCCATAGTGTTTTTAAGATTGCACATTGTGCCAAGCAGCCAAACATAAATGAAGAGGAGAGAATAAAATAAAACATGACTATTTCAGATTGTGAAACATCCTAACAAATCAGATGGTAACACTTTATTTTGATGGTTCATTTGTTAGTAGACTGTCTGCTTAATATCTGAAGCTAAACAGACATTTAAATGACTGTAAGAAACTTTGCAAGTACATGTCAACACTAACCCCAACCTAACAGTCTACTTATAATCTGTTAAGAATTAGTTTGCAGATGCAATGTTACTTAAATTCAACAAATGAACCATCAAAATAAAGCGTGACAAGGCAAACAGGAAAGTAGTTGTTGATTGCTGGTGTAGTTCTACTTGATTCAGTTCAGTTTCATGCAAATGTCACTGTAGAAGTTCAGTTCAGTTTACCATCAGACATTCATAACGAAGTGTATCATTACCTCTGAGGATCAGTATAATCCACCAGTGAATTTGAGTGTGTTCTGGCCAACTGAAAATGAAAACAAATCCCAGATTAATTCAATCTGCAGTACTAGTTTACAATTCAGTGATTTAAACCAGGGTTGCCCAAACTCGGTCCTGAAGGCCCGGTGTCCTGCAAAGTTTAGTGCTAGACACACTATCAGACATACCCGGGCTAGCTAATCAAGCTCTTACTAGGCTTTCTAGACATTCTTGCAGGTGTGTTGAGGCAAGTTGGAGCTAAAATCTGCAGGACACCAACCCTCCAGGGCTGATTTTGGACACCCCTGATCTAAACCATCTAAAAATTCTAAAAAAATTCCCAAACATCTGTACAAAATTAATTAAGAACGACATTTTTTAATTATAATTCAAAACTTGCTGCATTCATGTTGTCATGAACGTAACTATTAAGAATACATAGCATTTAGTTCATCCCACCTGACTCTGTGACAATGTCCTGCCTTTCATCCCTTCAGTGTTCAGATTTTTGGGACTGCTGAAAGAGCGCTGTCGCCACAGTATGCTTCTCTTCTTTTGAGAGCTGTCGATTATGTAGCTGTCCAGGCTGCTCATCTGTTTTAAAGGCATTTTAAAGTTCCTATTGGATGTCATCATGCCTCATTCACAGAAGCGCTGCACACAACTGCAGGCATCAGTGTGAATTCGCACAACTGCAGTCTACAGCGGATATAGCCACATCACGTGAATGTCAGGAACTAAAGACATCTGCCAGTTTCCTTTTTAAGCTTTGAGCTCTTGTGAATTTGCAGTAGTCTGAGAACAAACATGCAGGATGAGTTTTGTCATATCACCCCAATTTTATCCTCCTTACACTGGCTGCCTGTTAAGATTCGTATTGCATTTAAAATATTGCTTCTTACCAATAAAGCTTTAAATAATCTAGCTCCTGTTTATTTAACTAACTAACTTTAACTCGCTCTTTAAGATTTCAAAACTCAGGGCTTCTGGTAGAACCTAGAATAGCAAAGTCAAGTAAAGGAGGTTGAGCCTTCTCATTTATGGCTCCTAAACTCTGGAATAGCCGTCCTGATAACTCAAAACTAGATTAAAGACCTATCTGTTTAGTAAAGCATACACTTAGCAGGTTTCCACACAGGTTTCTGCATCTTGTTTACATACACTATGAACAACAGCTATGCTAATTATTCTCCATTTCCACCTGGAGATACTCATCCCTAGGCCCTCAGACCATGCAGAGTCATTGATTCAACCCAAGACCAGCGACGAGATGCTCCCAAGGTTTCCATATCCTGGACCAGGCCGTATCCTGAGCAGCTACTGTGGTGGTCATGGAGGAGTGAAGAGCATTAGACTGATTCCTGTGACGCTCCAGGGACAAACGAGTCTACGCTGAGGCCAGCTTCCAGCCTCCGCTGCTGAGGCCCCGTTTACACTAATGCGTTTTAGTTTGAAAACGCATAAGTTTTGCTACGGTTACGCCAACCGTCCACACTACGCCGGCGTTCTCGAGCGCCGAAAACGGAGCGTTTCGAAAACGCTAGAGAGGCCGTTTTCATTCTGAAACGCTGCTGCTCCGTCTCAGTGTGGATGATGGAAAACGGAGACATCTGAAAACGGAGGCGGGGCTGCAGACATTCGCCTCTCTGATTGGGGCTTTTCCTGAATATTAAGTAGCCTAACACACACAGTTCAGTCCTGCATCCTCTCCTTGTAAATTCAGACTTCGCAAGTTTGATCAAGGCTGCAGTCTCTTCTTCTCAGTTTGATATGGAAAACAGACTATACCGAGGACACGGGTAAATATTCAAAGGGAACAGTGTACTTTATAACTTCATTCACCCTGGCTACGTTGTTTCACTTTCTCAACAATAAAACGTAAACATGATTAAACTGTCTATCTTCATTTTAATATTAGCAACTTAACAGACAGCAGAAATGTTGAGGCGCCGTGCGGCATAATATCAGCGTCATCTTCACTGTGTGTATGTTTATAACAAAACAGAGCCTATAACAACTGCCTCCTTTAAATTTCAGTGAAAATATGAAACACACCCTCTCTTTTGCTGAATATCAGTTTTACTAATCGATAATGGCCATTATTAAGTTTATACATTATAGGAAATAAAGGCAAGCGATCAGTCAATATACAGAATAGGCTACGTGGTTACATTAATCATTAACTTATCTTTGCGGTCAGCCAAAACACGTTACCTGTGAACAAGTAATAGATTCCAATGCCCAAAGTCAGGGAATATGTTGTTAGATAAAGACAACAAGATGAATGAAATATCACGTTTAATAAATATGAGATTAGATCCAGCGGGAGATGCTTGATAAGAAGTCCGACTAGCACAGCTCTCATCTGGGTAGATGGGCTGCAGCGCTTGCCCAAGAGAGTATGTGGTCACGTGATGTGCGTTTTCAGCGTTTTGGTGTGGACGGAGAGCAGTTCAGAAACCCTGGGTAAAACGCGAGTGTGGACGCGGATCGTTTTCATTCTAAAACGCCGTTTTAAAACTAAAACGCACTAGTGTAAACGGGGCCTGAGACTGCAGCTCTGTACAAGACGTTTGGCCAGCGGAGAAATCGCAATGGTCGTGCCCAACTGAGTCTGTTTTTTTTATCTGCACAACTCTGGTTTACTTTGCACTCATTTGCTATATGCCCTTAATGTCATTGTATCAATCATAAGCTAAGTGTGAACTCTTGAAACTTACTTTAAGCTGTTTTGACACAATCTACACTGTAAAAATGCTATGGAAATAAAAATGAATTGAACTGAATTGAATTCAAGTATGAGTGGGCACAGCCATTGGAATCATTTTGGCTTGAGGCTTCTGGTCTCATGATTCCTTGTTCTGTAGCTAACAGGGAAAAAAAAATAAGAGGACTTATAATACTGACCTTATATGTTTTAAAAAATAAACTTTTTTTCCAGCCGAAATAATACCAAACTTTCTACAAAAGAAAAAATATTACAGGACAAAATGTTCTTAATCTGATATCACTTGAGAAATAATAAAATAATAATAATAATAATAATAATAATATTTCACAGGTGGGATAATAATTTTGCTCTCCACTCTAAGTCTTTCTGCTTTTTATGTATAGTCATGAACACACTTGTTTGTAAAGAATGTAGTTTGGCCCTTTTTCTGCCATTTATTATATTCCTAGTCATTTCTGTGTAAAATAGTCACCTCTGTGTCACATGCAGACTTCTCAGAGATGTTAACACGTTTACATACTCCAGCACATTCCTGACAAAGGCTCAGGATCTTCTGAATGGAGAAATACAAGCTAAACATGGCACAAAAAAACAAAAAACAAAAAAACAAACAGTGGGCTAAAAACCTTGCTGTAGATCAACATCTTTGGAGTACAACAGCACATGGGCAAATCCATACATCTGTACCTCCAAACAAACAAACAAACAATCACACTGCAAAAAAATGCTTTTCTTACTTGGATTTATTGTCTTGTTTCTAGTCGAAATATCTAACAATTCCTAAATCAAGAAGAATTTTATAGACAAGCAAAACATACTGTCTTGTTTTGAGAAATAAAATGCCAAT